CACCACAGGCACCACAACAGACACCATAACAACAGAAAGCACCACCACTGGTTCTACAACTCCAGAAAGCACAACAGTGTTAGAAAGTACAACCACTGGCACCACTACTCCAGAAAGTACAACAACAGAGACCACAACAACAGAAAGTACCACCCCCGGGACAACAACCATGACCACAACAAAAGAAAGTACCACCACAACTGAGATCACAACAACAGAAGGCACCACCACTACAGATAGTACTACCAAAGAGACCACAACAACTGAAAGCACCACAATGACAGAAAGTATAACCACTGGCTCCACCACTTCAGAAAGTACAACAACAGAAAGCACTTCAACAGAAAGTACCACCCCTGTTATTACAACTTCAGAAAGTACAACAATGGAAACCACAACTACAGAAAGCACCACATCAGACACTACAACAACAGAAAGCATCACTACAGGTACCACAACACCAGAAAGCACAACAACCGAGACCACAACAATAGAAAGTACCACCGCACGCACCACAACAGACACCATAACAACAAAAAGCACCACCACTGTTTCTACAACTCCAGAAAGCACAACAGAGTTAGAAAGTACAACTACTGGCACCACTACTCCAGAAAGTACAACAACGGAGACCACAACAACAGAAAGTACCACCCCCGGGACAACAGCAGAGACCACAACAGTAGAAAGTACCACCACTGGTACCACAACAACAGAAGGCACCACCACTTCAGAAAGTACAACAACAGAAAGTACCACCCCTGGCATTACAACTTCAGAAAGTACAACAATGGAAACAACAACTACAGAAAGTACCACAACAGACACTACAACAACAGAAAGCACTACAACAGAAAGTACCACCCCTGGTATTACAACTTCAGAAAGTACAACAATGGAAACAACAACTACAGAAAGTACCACAACAGACACTACAACAACAGAAAGCACCACTACAGGTACCACAACCCCAGAAAGGACAACATCTGAGACCACAACAATAGAAAGTACCAGCACAGGCACCACAACAGACACCATAACAACAGAAAGCACCACCACTGGTTTTACAACTCAAGAAAGCACAACAGAGTTAGAAAGTACAACTACTGGCACCACTACTCCAGAAAGTACAACAACGGAGACCACAGCAACAGAAAGTACCACCCCCGGGACAACAACAGAGACCACAATGGTAGAAAGTACCACCACTGGTACCACAACAACAGAAGGCACCACCACTTCAGAAAGTACAACAACAGAGACCACAACAACAGAAAGCACTACAACAGAAAGTACCACCCCTGGCGTTACAACATCAGAAAGTACAACAATGGAAACCACAACTGAAGAGAGCACCACAACAGATACTACAACAACAGATAGCACCACTACAGGTACCACAACACCTGAAAGCACAACAACCGAGACCACAACAATAGAAAG